TACCATAGGGAGGGCTATGGGAGTGCGTGCGTTATTGGGCAGGGAAGAAGAAACTAAGATCAACGGAGGCGGTCGCTCAGAATCATACCCACAAACACTCAAATATGATATATTTGAAGCGCACGGTAAATGCGAAGATAAGGGTTTGTCGTCTGTGACCGTTGAGCACTTAATAGGGATGCCATCCGGGTGGGCGGGGGCAGAGGGGCCACACGGAGTCCCCCATACCCCCCTCTCTCTCTGTCCTTAAAGTGTTACACGGAATGGGCGACATTAATTTAAAACTCTTTCTCCCCCATCCCCCGCGCGTATACAAAAGGCCCCAGGAGGAGCAGCAAGTCCTCTCCTCCCTCATATTCTGCGCAGCGTGTAGAACACATTTAATCGTACACGAAATCAGTGGGGAGGAGCGGAGATAAAACACGGCCGTTTCTTTCTTTTTCCTTCCTTTTGGTGGCCGCAGCGACACGGGCGCAGTGCGCTGCCCGGCTGGCCCAGAGGCTGAGGCTGGCCCTGGCCCCCGCCCCGCCGCGCCGGAGACTCGCCAGAGACCTGGGCGCGCGGTGGGCCGAGAGTCACGCCTAGGCGACAGGGTGTCTGGCGCGGCCACCCCCCCCCCCCTTCTCTCTCTTTCTCTTTGGGCTGGCCCCCGTGGGCAACACCCCCGCTCTCCTATAACATGGAAACGCAGCGGTAAACTCGAAGAGTACATTTGAATAAGTCACACAATGCAAAGAATTAGGAAAAGAGGGAGCGTCGGAGGAGAATGATGACGAGAGGATCAAAATCTCGACAGCCAAGGCGACACTGATCTGTTGGAAAACTTTACAACTATTAGTTATTAATGATGAGAGAAATACTTCTCACTGTTTACGTCAATTTAATCGGAACCAAAAGATTCGGGAAATACACACATAGGTTTCTATTTCTACTTGGCTTCTTCACCCTGTTCACTTTTCGTAGTTAGACTGCAACGAACGCAGGCGTGCGTACTGGTTGCCTACTAGCTGGGCGCCATAGACGATGGGCAAATCTGCTGCGTGCTACGCGGGGCAAGTCATAGGCCTGGCACATTAATAATCGTCCACGGACGGATAGAAAAACAAAGAGTCGGACTTGTGCGTTTGCATTAAGAATAATAAAACCAAAATCGAGTGCATCCGTAATGAACTACTACCTGCCGGCAATCCCTGCAATAAATCCCTCCCGATAATCCTTATCGCCGATATCGACACGAGACAAGCATTTCGCTCCGATCGATCACGACATTCCGTCGTTCTGTCCTTACACCGGCGGGCCCGGGGCCGGGGGGGTCGGGGCCCTGCAGGGCGCGGGGACCTGGACCCCGCAGGCCGCAGGCCAGCAGGGGAGCATTCCAACATCGCGAGATACACATAGCTGTGTCTAAACGCGGAGATTGTCACCCGACACCGGTGTGGGAGAGAGAGGGCCAGAGCGTGCCGGAGAGGGAATGAGGGCGAGAGAGAGGTAGTGAGTGGGGGAAAGGGGGGAGGGGCGGAGGGAGAGAGAGAGAG